GCCCTGGCAGGATGCAGGATACCCTAGCAAGACGCAGGCTGCCACGGTGGCAGCAGGGTTAACCAGCTCATCCCCCGCTTGGTGCCGGTCCCCATGTCCCCCGTAACCTCCGGCCCGTGTCCCGGCAGCGCCGCAAGACGAGGACTGCGCTCAAGCCGCCATCGACTTCGTGGCCTACCAGGACATCCCGGTGCGGAAGCTGAGGCGGCTGCAGCAGCTGCTGGAGCACTCGCCGCGCCGCGCGGTGCCGGCCGGCCGCGCCGCCGCGCAGGAGAAGTTCCGCAGGGACCTCACGCGCCTCAAGGAGGGGCACCCCGAGGTGACCCGCGAGCTGCTGGGCGCGCTGCGGGCCGCCAAGCTGCACGCCATCGAGCGGCAGGTCCGCGAGCGCTTCCTCGGCCCCGCGCGCCTCGGCTGAGCGCCGCGGCCGCTCCATTAATTTATTGATCGCTCCCCAAAAAACGAACTCGAAGCGCGTGCCGACCTCGGCCTGCAGAGCTCCAGAAGGGGCAATATCTTATCAGGAGAAAAACAGGTGCCCATGGCCGTTTTCCTGGGATACGAGCCCATGTCCCCCTTTTTAGGCTACTGTGCAACTTCATTTTTGTGTTTGTTTTTTTTAAATTTGGGGTGTTTCTTTTTTATTATTATTATTTAATGGTGTTTTCCACAGAGGATTTGCTTGTGTTCGGGTTTGGAGAGGAGCTGCCGACACCGCTGGGGTGCAGGGTGCTCGTAGAGCCACCGGCATGGCTGCCTGGACCCGCGCGTCCGAACTACCTGATTTTGTATCACTGTAAAGAGGGGAAAAAAAAAACAGAAAAAAAGCAAAGAAATTATTTTATTACACAAGTCTCCATGAGCAGAGTCCTTTCCTAGTCTCATTCGGGGGTTCGGGGCTGAGATCCCGACCGGCCGCTTCCTCGTGCCCATCCCTGCCCTGGTTAGGTGCCCGTCCACACCCCACCGCGGGCACCTAAAACGTGTTTCGGTCCGCACCTAAAAACGCCCCTTTCAGCCCCAAATCACCGTCGGGTGCCCGAGGGTGCCTGTCCCGGGCGCGTGGGATTGCAGAAGTGCAGCAGAGCGGCGGCCGGCCCCGCTCGTGCTGCGGCACGCGGTCACTTCTCCACGGGCTCCCCGGGGCTGCCGAGGGAAGGGAAGGGAAGGGAAGGGAAGTCGGTGGGAGTTGACCCTCCGTGGGCTTTTCCTGCCCGTGACTCAGGCTCCTGCCTCTCGTGCCCGCGGCGCCGCTGGCTTTTTATAGCTCCTTGCGGGGCTGGGAATAGCTGGGGACGCGAGGGCTTCCCCGCGGGCAGCGACATTCCCAGGACAGGCCGAAGGTGCTGCCGGTTTTCCCAGGCAAGTGGGAAAACGGGATGTTTGTGGGAAGGAAGCGGTCGCATACTCCTGGAATTGCCCAGGACAGAGGGGAATGGGATTTGGAGGCAGGAGTAACAGGGAGCGGAGCCTGGACCGCACAAGCACCAAGGCGGCCCCTTCCCRTGTCCCTGTCGCCAACACGGGAGCTTTCCCGATGTCTGGGTTGGTTTTGCCCGGCAGCAGCAAGGTGCGAGTTTTGGGGGCTCTTGGGGTGTTTTGAGCAGCGGTGCCAGCCCAGAGGGGCCGCCTGGTGCTGCAGCCCGGCCGGGGCAGCCAGGGAAGTCCTTGCGTGGGGCATTGGCACCATTTCCACACTCCTTATCGGAATAGCTAGCCCTGGTCTGAGGTTTCCCAGACGAGTTTCATGCAGATTTAATCAGAATCCACGGCAAAGTTTTCCCTTATGCTGACTCGGGTCCAGTCAGCATCCTTTGACCTTTCCAAATGGCAGCGCCCGCTTCCCCGAAGCACAAGGACCCCCTCAGCTGCCAGGAAAAGGGCTTTGTTCCCAAACCCCACGGGAGATTTTGGCACGGCCGGATCCAGGCAGGTCCCACGGCTCCAAACACAGCACAGGGAGGCCCCTGAGCAGGCCAGGACTAACTCTAAACCCGGCGCCTTGACAAGGCAAAATAACTGATAGGCTAAAAACCCGTTCCGGTTTTCACTGAACTTTCCAGCGCCCGGAGAGAAAAGAGGAACAGCAACGCGSCACCGGCTTCTTCCTCAAAATTCAAGGGACTCTTTTCCTTACAAGTGGTGGCGAAGGGCTGGGTGACAGCGAACCGTGTCCCGCGATGACTCCGATATTTAGTGCGGAGAAGATCGTGTCCCCAGGGCTGCGGCCCTGCACRGAGGGTGCTGAGCACCCGCCATTCCCCAGGCTGGGTTCCCCAGCACCCATTGCTCTTAAGTGGTTAAAATAGAGAGGAAAAAGCACACRGAGCCCCACAGCAGCCGGGTGGATCTGCTCGGGCCTGGCCGCTGCCAACAGGCTCCTGCGCATCCTCCTTTTGGCATAGGATTCCTCTCGGGAATGTGCTGCARAACCTGCGGCAAAATGCAGGGATATCCTCGTTTCCTCCTGGATTTCTGCTCCTCTCCGTTCCAGGAGCATCCCAAACTGGAGATGTCTCATGGAGGGGCCAAGMAGCCTCCTGGCACCGAGACCTCCCGCTTGGACAGGGAGGGAGCGAGAGGGCCCCGAACAGCGCGGTGCCGGCTCGGGATCGGGTCGGTTCCCAGGATCGGATCCACTCCCGGCATCGGGATGAGCGCGGTGACTTGTGACCATTGGCCTCCCATTGCAGCTGCTGCTGGAGCTGCTGATGGTTCGTCACCAAGTCATTTTATTCTTATTTTTTATAATTAAACGAGAACTTTTCCTCATGTTGACCAGCTCCCACCTCCCACAAACCCACTAAAAAAATCCTCCTTTTACGAAAAGTTTCAAAAGTGTCACTGAAATAGAAAAAAACGGTCCATTTGTTGGTGCTACTGACCATAAAGAAGCTCGAGAGCTTGGGCAGCCTTGGAGCCGAATGGAGCTCCCGAGGCTCCCCGACGCGCTCCGGCCTCGTGCCGACGCTGGAAGCTATCCCAGCGGGTCCTCAAATGCGCYCGGTCCCTCCTTGGGAAATGAAACGAGCTCGATCCCGAGTTCGGGAAGCGCGCGGAGCCCTGTGCAGCCAGCGCTCCAAAGCCGCCCGTGATTCCTGCCCGGTTGCAGGATCAGGACGTGGTGCCGCGTCCTTCCCCGTGCTCCGCGGAGCGGCCTCGGGGCCGGCAGATAAATGCGAGCAGGGAGCTCCAAAGGCAAGGGAAGATTTCCCTCTTTTTTCCCAAGCCCTTGGATCCGGCTCCTCGTGGCGGCTACGGGGCATGTTGCAATGCTCGCAATTCCTCGAGCTCGCTCCCGAGCGCTTTGCAGGACGGTGTCCTCCGGAGCGGCGCTGGATCCTGCTTCCTCCCAGGGATCAATCCAGAGCATGGATTGGGTTGAGGTGATTCCTRCTCATCCCGCCACTCTCAGAGCCCCTCGGTTGCTTCCCAGAGCGCAACAAGTCTCCGTCTGCCGCTGCACCCTCTCAGCTGGAATTAAAGCAGCACCACTCGGTTAAACCTTCCAATGCCCTTTGCTTACATCATTTTTATTTTCTGGGAAATTTGACCAGGAAGCTTGGAAGGACAGATAGAAACTTGCACTTACGCAACCGCCCGGCTGCTGAGGCCAGCGAGTGCCTTCGGGGTGAGTGTAAAACAGGGCTCTTCCCGAAGCCGTTGTTCGCTCRTCCTGTGAAAACCTCGGCATTCTCCGTCCTGCTCCGTGTCCAGGGGAGGGCAGGGGAGCCGGCCGGCCTGGGATCACGGAGCCGAGCTCCGGCTGCACGTCCCTTGCACGGGGGACGTGTCCGTCCCTCCGCGGAAGGGCAGGGAAGGGCTGAGCGCTGGATCCGGGCGCTGGGTGAACTGGTTTGAGTGCTGGCTGAGCTGGATCCGGGCGCTGGCTGAGCTGGGCCCGGCTGCTCGGGGTGTTTTCCAGCGGGAAGCCCAAGGAATGGGAAGGAGGGTTGGAAAATTCGGTCTGGCCRCCCCGAAGCTCTTGCTCAGACATGGAGCTCGGGCAGGAGACTTCCACGCGCCGCAAGCGTGGCGGCTGCTCCGGCCAGCCCGGCCCGTGCGGAGGCTCCGGCCACGCGGCYGCGCGGGGGTCGGATCCGGCGGATTCCCCTCCCGCCACCGCAGGGACCCGCAGGGATGCACGGGGACCTTGCACCGGTTTAGCCTGGGTGACCCCACGCACCAGGTCCAGAAGCTCATGGGAGCCCCCGGGCTCTGGGAACAACCGGCTCCCTGTTTTCCCAGTGACAGGCTCGCTCGGGCATTTRTTTTCCTTAGGGAGCAGCCCGGTTTCAGTGGGATAGGATGACTCAGCAGCCAAACGCCCAGGGAAGTTTGCAGGGGGCTGTTTGGCTTCTGAGAAGTAGCAGAGGGGGTCGCAGATGGGAATTCAACCGGGACGGATGGGAACGCGGCAGCTTTCTGTTTCAGCCAAGCCCTGAGGACCTGCCTGACTCCGCGGCACGTTTCCCAGGCCCAGGGAGGTGTGTGCAGGGCAGGTCCTGGAGCCGGGCTTCCCACGGCCGCACGGGATGAGCGGATGGAAGCGGCGCCTCCCATCCGCACACCCTTCCCAGGGCTGGTTGATGCCRGCTTGAGAGGAGGAAGCATCTTCGGGATGCCGTCCTGCTCTTGCCATGCGCACAGCGGGTCCCAGATGCGCAGCAGGACATCTCTGCCTGCAGCCACTTGCTTGTGCTTTGCATTCCAGGCAGGGCTCACCAAGGACACGGGGTTTTCTTTCCAGGAAAGCGACGGCTGTTTTATTGTGCAAATTCCTAAGCAAATCTGTCTCCTGCCTCATCCTCTTGCTGGTGTTGTCGCGTGGCAACACGAGCGTGGGAAAGGTGAGGGCTGCGGCGGCCGCTGCCTGCGGAGAGGTGCCCTCGGAGGAAGATGTGGGCGATGGGGCATTTGATAGGTCACCCTCGTAAAAAAATAAATACAAAATAAAAATAAATAAAGAAATAAACATTTTGCAAGCTCACTTGGAGTCATAGCCTTCAGCTTCAAGGAAACACAACGTAAGAGACTGGGAATGCAACAGCAGGAATGAGAAGATGCCTTTTAGCTCCAGAAAGTGGTTTTGTGTGCTCAGAAGTTAGCATGGGGCCAACTTTCACAGCTGAGTAACTCACTGAAAATGCTCCTCGTCTCCTCTTCCTGTCGAGGAGAATCCACTTTATGGAAGCTGCAGTCATTTCTTTCCCCAGTGACACCGACACAGCGCTGTCCCAGCTCCCAGCCCTYGGGCATGCTTTTCTCTTCCCCCTAAATGTGTCCTGACTGCTTTTAATCCTACTCTTTTCCAGCAGAAAATTCAATCAGCCTATGCAGTAACTAATGTCTCAAAGCTGCAATTGCTGCCCTGCCCAGGGGAGGAAAAACTAGTTGCTGGGAAGCGTATCCGCATGA